TTTATAAATTACACAGATTATCAAGTTTTAAGTTGTATTCCAGCGGTATTTTTAAGGCTTTTGTCTAGAACCTTAAGCTCTCATTATCTCTCACATGAACTGCCTCCTGACCAGTTTCCCAATGACCAGTTTCTCAGTATTTAGTCTAACATGCAACACTCTTCCCCACCGTCTTACCCAGTAAACAGACTGAAGCTGCCCCAGTGATCTTTATCACTAACCTGTTTAAAACTTTTTAATGATCCTCCACTACCATCATGAGAAAATTCGAAGCTCTTAGTATTACCCCCAAGATTTTCCATGGCTTGGTCTGGTGTGCCAGAGATCTTTAGCCAATCCACTGGAGGTAGCCTGCAAGCTTTCCTGTTATTACTACATCACTTGTGTATGATCGCGTCAAATTATACTCCAGCTGTGAACATAGGGAATTACCAAACTATCACTAAGTGAGCATGGTACAGTGAGGCTTAAGCCATTCCATTCCTATGAGGTATGTTCTGTAGGTTTTAACAAGTTAATAGATGAGATTATGCTATGTTTCCTCATCTTATATTATCTTATATCATCTAATATCATCTTATTTTATCTTTACATTAAGAATTTCTGTTTGTTACTTCATACTACCTCTGGAGAGAACAGAAGCTCCTTTTGAGTGACACAATTAAGAAAGAGAAAACTTTAGCTAGATGTTGTCACTGTCAACCATTTTGGTATAACATCGCTCAACTCAACAGAGAGGTCTTGTCCATTGTGCTTGACTGTGGGCAACCCTCTTATTCTTTACTCCTCCTAAACATGGCAGTGTGGTCTTGAACCTCTGCTTGAAACTGAAATAGTTTGTGATGGCTAATTTTATGTGTTAACTTGGATAGGCCAGGGTACCCAGATATTTGCTCAACACCAGTGTAGATATTGGGGTGAAAGCATTTTTCAGATGAGATTAATATTTAAATCAGTAGACTTTGAGTCTACTCAAAGCAGATTATCCTGCATAATGAAAGTAGGCCTCACCCAATCAGTTCAAGGTCTTAAGAAAAAAAGACTGAAGTCCCTCGAGAAAGAAGGGATTCTGCTCTGCCTCCAGACTGCCTTCAACTCTTGCAATATCAACATTTCCCTGTGTCAGCAGCCTATAAGCCTGCCCTGCAGAATTTGGACTTGCCAGCCCCCAAAATCACATGAGCCAATTCCTTACATATCTCTCTGTCTCTCCTGCCCCTCTTTCTCTCTGTGTATATAACATACACATCCCATTGTTTCTGTTTCTCTGGAAAACCCTGCCTAATACAAAGTTTAACAGTTAAATAGAGAAACTACTATTGAAGGGCCAAGAAACTCATCCAGGTAATATCTGATCATTTCTTTATCTTACCTTTGGTAGAACATTGAGAGAATCTACTGAAAAATTTTTCTGACTGATTGTGAACATTTCTATCACTTACTCCCGGAACAGCGGAGTCTCCCAGGTTTGTCCTAAAATTTAGAATCAAAAGTTAATGTTTTAGTAAGTGTTTGTTGAATAAAAAATATCAACTTGCTGACAATTTTGAAAAAAGAATTTGAGAAACTTGCAATTCATAGTAATATGAACGTAAAAATCTCAATGTAAAAATTCATGTCATATGAGGATATTAATTTTAATAACCTATTTTGCTTTGTCAAATAGCTTTTGTTTGGGAAAAAATAGAGCTGCAGTACCACCTATAAGGTAACATAAAGTTGTGTCACTATTTGTCCCCATTTAGCCATAGGAAACTTGACAATACCTCAGTATTCACTTTCATTCTAATAACTTCATTACAGTAGGTACAAAGAGGATAAAGGATTGTCTCTATAAGTTGGAGGAGAACCAGAAAATTACATTTCTGGTTTCCAGCCCAGTAGACTTGACTTCTCTGGAAAAATTTTAGCTAATTCAGTGGTGCTCATTCACATTCTGAACTTAAAAGAATCTTTATATCCCTAAAAAAAGTACTCTAGATTGTATAATTTTAGCTAAAAATGTAAACATGTATTTTAGCAATTAGTTTTTCTAATTAAAACTATTAACTGGCCCTTCTCAGTATACAGATCTGAGAGCTTGTTATTCAATTATTTTCCTCACTTTGGAACTTATTATGCATCAGGCTTGGAATGTTATTAATTCCAATCATTTTGAAGAGATTTGCTTGTAATATGTAAATACTGATGGCCATAGCACAGAGCAGTCCAGGAGGAAATGGCAAAAAAAAATCACAACAAAAATTCGAAGAAGACGTTATTTCTCACTAGGCCGTGATATTGCAAGTGTGGTGTTACAAAAACACATAGGTAAGGGGCTGGCCCAGTGGCGCAGCAGTTAAGTTTGCACGTTCCACTTCGGTGGCCTGGGGTTCGCCGGTTTGGATCCTGGGTGTGGACCTACGCACCGCTTGGCAAGCCATGCTATGGCAGGCGTCTCACATGTAAAAAAAGTAGAGGAAGATGGGCACGAATGTTAGCTCAGGGCCAGTCTTCCTCAGAAAAGAGAGGAGGATTGGCGGCAGATGTTAGCTCAGGGCTAATCTTCCTCAAAAAAAAAAAAAAAACACACACACACATAGGTAAAAAAAACTTGATATCATTAGAAAAATATTTTCCAAATCTATCTTTATGAAAAATATTTAGAAAAGAGGAGGAGGAACCAACTCAAGTGTATATAAATCTCAATTATTATAAAAACAATTTTTACTAACCTGAAACTAATGTCTTATACTTTGGACTTTAAAATTTCTGCCATTTTACAATAGAAATGGCCTGAAAACATTCCATCTTTCCAAGTCATGATGAATGAGCTTCTATTAAAAGTAGCTAAAAGAGGAGAATCCACTAATGTATTTTATACAGTCACTGATCAGTTACTGACAGGTAATATTTCATTTTCTTTAGGACTTTAAGACATGTTGTGTACCTAACAGCAACAGCGTGTGTGATAGCACATCTATCATTACATGCATCACAAAAGCAACAAAGACATAAATTCGTTTCTGCCTGTTAAAGTCTAATTATTTGTAAAATCATTACTTGGCACTGTAACAAATTGACACAATGAAGTTAATGATCCTCAAAATACTAAAACTTGCAACGTGTTTTTTGCTTACTACATTCCTAAACTTTAGTCAACGTTTAGTGGTGTGGATGACATCATATGGAGGACACTAGGCTAAATTTCTTTGCTAAGTGACAGTAATGCCACTACTATTATTCATGCAAGGTGTTTATATATCTCTTAATTAAAACAATGCTGTTACGTAAGAGTTCACTTTCATTACATTGCTAAACCTTACTGATAATATAGCTTCATGGATAATTACAGTATAAATTATAAACAAGGGTATTATCTTGGCATAGAAAAAGAATGCTAGTTTATTGAGAAATATTATGAAGTAGAATTTTTAAAAGTTAATTTAGAGACAATATTAATTTTAAAAAGACACTAAAGCTAAATCTGATACTAAAATACACAAAGTATCTTTTATACAAAGTACATATTTGGCTCAAACCCAGAAGGTATAGCATCTTGCCACATGTATTTACTGTGCTTGGGGTTTCAAAATACTCTTTCAAAGCTCAGCAGCTCTACAATTGATCAGAAAGCATCCGATCTTAACAAATGTCCTAGAATTTACATGTGAATAATCTGCTCAATTGTATGCAATAGATACATTTGAAAACAGTTTTGAAGTTTTGCACAGTGCCGAGTATATTAGTAGTGTTAATGAACACTAGATTACCTTAGAATCTTAGATTTCTTCCAGTATCTGTGGTACTGTTGTTTCAAGTCCCACAGAGGTTTAAATAATTTGAAATTTATAGTAACAGGTCATATAAAGAGAAAAGCAAACCTTTTTCCCTATTACAGGAAGGCAATGTGAGGTAGAAACAAAGTATGTGTGTCAGACTGCCTGGGCTCAAATTCTAGGATTGACACTTACTAGCTAGTACAATCTGGTCAAGTTACTTAACATTCCTGTATCTCGGCTTCTTTACATGCAAAACAGCAATGAAAATACCAACTTCATAAGGTTGTTGTATACATTAAATGAATTAATACAATCAAGTCACTGAATAAATGTTAGCTTTATTTTACTACTCTGCCCTACAGACAATTTGCAAATATTCTTTTACATAAACCTTTTAGATAAGACAAAATAAAATATAGGAAGAGCTGTAGAGTGAGAAAAAAAATTCTCTATTCTGTCACATGGAGGTTATATTCAGAAGTAACCAGAAGAGAACATAATTCCTCTTTACAGTTCAGGAAATTATTCGGGAATTACTGCTGATTTCCTAAACTTGGGTCTAAGGTCCATTCCCCTTTGACACATATGGTACAGGAATTCCTCAAACAGGATGGTCCGTGAGTAGTTTGGATTTTGGAATGCATGTGAGTAGTCTGGAATTCATCGCAATTCTCCTTGTCCCCCCCAATTCTTTATCAATTTTTCTATGTGAAAAAGTAATAGTACATCCACAAATTTCCATCGTTCTAGGCCAAGAATAGAGTGTTCTTTCATTTTGCTCTAAACATGAATTTTCCTACTGATATTTCAATTCTTGAAGATTTTATTAGTCCTGAAAATTATCCTACCTCAGACATGCAAGAAAACCTAAGGTTTAAGCTGCTGGCATTTATACTAAAGTAAAATTTTAATACCAAAGATAGCAGTAACATGCCTAAAGAAATTTGACGCTGTCACAGGAAATAGTGAACTCTGCATTTCATTGGATTACTGTTAAACACGTAGATTTGAAACAATTTTTAAAACCCCTTAAAACCTAAGTACCTTCATGCTGTCAGAGCAGCGACACCACACTAAGAATTTTCTTAACATCGCCCTTTCCTCCCCAGCATGGCCCCAAAAAGAAGCCTTAAAGAGAAAATTTTCACTCTCTCTCTTACTCTCTCTCTCTCTCTCTCTCTCTCTCTCTCTCTCTCTCTCTCTTTCTCACACACACACACACACACACACACACAGACAATGGCGGGAGGAGAGGAGAGGAGGCGATGGCGAGGAGGGGAGAAGCAGAGAAGGGGAGCGGGGGAGTTAGGGATACGAAAAAGCGAAGCAAGTCAGGAAAAGACAAGACCACGAAGCACCTGCTCGTCCCCGCCTGGAGACTGACTTTCTTGCCTCCACGCAGCCCGCGGAACAGACGGCCCGCCACCCCGGGCGCCTAAGACGGCCGAGCCGACGCACTTCTCCCAGTCGCGCCGGGCCGGCCACGCGTCAGGGGTCCTCGCACGGCGCCCTCCCCCGGCCTGGGGCGCCAGCGCGCCTGACGGCGGACGAGCGCGAACTGCATCACAGTTCGGCACGCTGGGCCTCCGCGGGCAATGTCCGCGGGCAACGTGCGTGACTCGCCGTCACCTGCGGCCCACAGGCTCAGTTTCCGCTGGCTGCGCTCCGTCTGCGACAGCGGTGACGGCCTAGGCGGAGCACCCCTGGCCTCCGTTCGTCCTTTGATTGACTCTGATTGACTCTCTCCCACTGAGAGAGGTTCAGCCCTGGCGCCAGGCCCGGATCTCGCTCAAGACCCAGCTTCAAGATGAAGGCTTCCGTTCCCCGCTCCGAAATGTCCTCACTCTGTCGGATACCTGCACCCCGAAGTGGACGAGGCAATGCTGTATGAGAAATTCAGCACCATCGGGCCGATCCTGTCCATCAGATTCTGCCTTGACCCGCCCTCGCGCTGCTCTCTGGGCTACGAATACGTGAACTTCTCGCTGCAGGCCGATACCGAGTGCGCTCTGAGCACGATGAACTTGGATATTATCAATGGCAAGCCACTCTATTAGGAGGTCTCAGCGTGATCCGTCACTTCGTGAGAGTGGAGTGAGCAATATATTCGTCAAAAATCTTGCCAAGTCTATTGATACATTTTCTGTCTTTGGAAACATTCTTTCTCGTAAAGTAGTAACCAATGAAAATGGATCCAGGGGTTTCGGGTTTGTGCATTTTGAGAAATCGGAAGCCGCTACAAGAGCCGTGGCGAAGATGAGTGGAATTCTGCTGAAAGGGAGCCGAGTTTTTGTTGGGCAGTTTAAACCTCGCAAAGAAAGGGAAACAGAACTTAGAGTGAAAGCAAACATGTTTACGAATGTTTACATCAAGAATTTTGGAGATGATATAGATGATAAATGTCTTAAAGAGGTTTTTGGTGAGTTTAGTTCTGTATTAAGTGTGAGAGTTATGACTGATGAAAGTGGAAAATCCAAAGGCTTTGGATTTGTGAGTTTTGAAGATGCCCAGAAAGCCATCGAAGGAATGAACGGAAAAGTCCTTAATGGAAATCGAGTTTATGTTGGTAAAGCACAGAACAAAGTAGAGAGACTATCTGAATTAAAACACAAGTTTGAGCAAATGAAACCGGGTAAACTCACCAGGTGCAACGGTGCTAATGTTTATGTGAAGAATCTTGAAGATGATATTGATGATAAAGGACTGAGAAGAGAATTTCCCCTCTTTGGCACAATCACAAGTGCCAGGGTCATGACAGAGCGAGGCTGCAGCACAGGCTTTGGCGTTTTGCTACACGTCTGAGGAAGCTAAGGAAGCCATCATGGCAATGAATGGAAAAACCGTGATCCCCCAACCAGTGCATGTGGCTATTGCACAAGGCGAGGTGGAGTGCCAGGCTCTCCTCACCCAGAACTATATGGAGAGAAGGGCAGATGTGGGACATGGAGGTAATCCTAGACTCAACTCAGAAGCCTCCTCAAGTAACTTCATGCCAATTCTTCCTCAGCCTCAATGTGGAAGTGCAGATCTCAGCAAACCTGTGGTTAGGACCAAACCTCATCCATCTCAGAATATGCGTTATGTTATCCACTCAGCAGCAGCAGCAGCACCTAAGCCATCATTCAGCACCTTCAGACCACCACAAGTGCCCGCAGTCAAGTCACCCTATCATATCACCAATACAGCAACCCAGACCAAGACTGTTCACCCTCAAACTTCTTCCTCAGGATCCCATGCAAATCAAAGATTCAAAAAAGTTGCACGTGTTTGCAGCCATTTAAAATTTAAAGTAGGAAGGCCAGTATCCATCCAGAAGCCTGTCCACATTTGTACGCAAGGTCATGATATGTCAAATATATCTGTGTTGGCATCAGCTACTACTCAGGAGAAAATCTTGTATAAAAAGCTGGTTCCTCTGGTTCTATCCATTCAGCCAACTCCAGCTGGAGAAATCTCTCGCATACTATTGGAGATGGATGACGCTGAAATTCTTTATATGCTCAAGTATAGCGAGTCTCTCCGTGCCAAGGTTTATGAAGCCATCCTCATTCTGCAGTCCAACCAAGCTCAAGATACTGCCCTGAAAGCTACTAACAGCACTCCCAGTATTCAATGTGTATAAGATGAAACTCCTGCTTGTAGAAATGAAAGTTCCAAACAATTAAAAACATGAACATTGGAGAAAATGATGAGAATAACAAAATTTTTTTAAGAAAAATAAATTTAAACTTTGCCAAAAAAATGTCAAGTTTTGTTACTGGTATTTGATTATTTACTGTTTAAAAAAATACGAATAAAACAGTAAAATAAACAGAAAAAAGGGGAAAGAAAAATAATTAAAATGTAGTATTTTCAAAGGATTTAGTAAGAGTAAGGCAAAATTACACAGAAAACAATAATTTAAATCAGTTTTTACTTTTAGTATTTTTACTGTAAACAGTGCAAAATGACACCAGTATTTTACATTCCAGAATTGTGGTAGTTGGATTTTACTCAGCAGTTGCTCAGTAATTCCATAAAGAAATGTAATTTGGATTTTAAAATTCTTATTTGGTAAAAAATTAACAGAAGTTAAAAATATGAAAGACCTAATAACTACAAATACCAGATTATTTCATAAATAGCTTAATAAAATATTACAGTATAAAATGCAAAATACCAAAGGGAAATACAGAAAATATAAATATTTTGCATTGACCTAACATAAGGCAGAGTGATGGAGCTGATGGGAAAGAGTAAGCAGAAGCAACAATTACAGGTGATAGTTTCATAAGGATGTGAGCTCCAAAAATGCCAAAGATTTTGGAATTGAAGGAGAGAGAGGAGAAGTGGGTAGGACAGAGTAGAAATTGCAGAGTAAAAATAGGAAGCATTTGAGTACTTGGAGATAATTCTAGAGATGCACAAATTCAAGGTTAGGATGAAAAGGGAGATATTAAATTTGAGGCAGAGTTTTTAGTCCATTGTTTTGGGCAGAAGCTGCTTGCTATCTGATGTCATCTGATTGTTCCAACTTTTTTGGAAAAGCTGCCTCCTCTGTGACATCATGTGCTTCAGAAAAGTTTCCAGAAACCTCAGTTTAGGGACTCTGGTTAAAGAAGAAGTTGAGTTGGTCAGAGGTGGATGTCTTTTTAGCTGGGACACAAGGAACCAAAGGGCTGTTCCTTGTAGCTTGGCTGCCCTGTTAGTGATAAGGAGGACCTGATAGGGGCCCTTCCAGTGGGGGTCCAGAGCAGTTTTTGTTGGTGTCTGTTCCAGTAGACTGTCTTCCGTTGTAAGTCCAGGAGGTGGATTCTTTAGAAAGACAACTTGACCCTGTTGATGATAAGTTTGAGTATATTGCATTAGTCATTTACATTATTGCTCATATTTAATGCAACAAAGTGGAGTTTAGAATAGGAGTGGAGTGCCCAATCTCTGGTTTGACTGTGACAAATTCATTAGGTCACAATCTATGTTTGCCATTAGGGTCAACGGGAGTAGCGTAGGCCAAGGTAGTTTTATGTCTTCAGAGAGTTTAGCAAGTTTTAATTTTAAAGTATCATTAGCTCTTTCTATTTTTCCTGAGGATTGAAGATGATAAGTACAGTATAATTTTTGGCCAACAGGCAACACCTTAGGAAATTCCTTAATTATGGTCCCAGTAAAATGCATAGCTCTTCACTAGAAAGTTAAGTAGAAAAAACAAAATCTAATTGTTTTTTCGTGACAATAAGAGCCGTTTCCTTTCAGCAAGTTTGGAAAGCCACCTAGAGGTTAGAGAAGACAATCATAAGTATGTTTTCAAAGCCTTGTGATGTAGGGTGTTGTATAAAGTCCATTTGTAAATGTTCGAAGGCTCCCTTATGGTTTCTATCTATGAACCACCTTTACAGTTTTTCCAGGGTTATGAGTTTGGTAGGTGGGACGTACACTGGAGGTCCTTCTCTGATATCCAAGTAAAATTTCCCCATTAATGTTGATCCAGAATACTTTTAAGTTTTCTTTACTTACTGTGATGGATCATAATGTGCACATTTTTCACCAAGCTCCATTTCAGCGGGTCTGGAGAGACCAAGTGGTCATCTTGCCATCTCTATAACTCACTGGATTGGAGGGCACACCCAGATTTCTTCAAGTATCCTTTTCAGAATCTGGAAGTTGTGATTTCAGTTTGCTTGAAACTTCATAAAATGACCTGAATTAACCAGATCATCTTTAATTTGTTGACCTGGTTGAACTTGGATAAGAGTAATTTGGTTAACATACTGGTCAGCTGAGACATTTCCTTTCCCCTCATGTGTTTGTTTTCTAAGTTTGAGCTTCAATGTTAATTACAGCCAAGTTTTTAGGGAGAAGCAAAGCAGTTAGAAAAAACTTTGCTCACTGTGCTTAATGAGAGTACTAGCAGCAGTTGAGGAACCATGTTGCATCCGTAACATTATGAAATACACCAAAAGCATATCTGCTGTCTGTGTATGTTAACTCTCTTGTCTTTTGCTAGCTGACATGCTCTAGGCAAGCTAGTTTAGCTAGTTACACTGATTTGACTTCAGGAAAGGGATTAGATTCAATAAAATCCTGTAAGGAGGTAATAGCATATCCAGTTTGAAAATAGAGTTGCTCATTCTTAAGATGTGACCCATATACAAAGAAATCAGAATCTGAGTCTTATAGAGGAGATCAGAGTGATGCAGGCAACGTGGTTGGGTTAATGTTAAACAATTCCATCCTCTGGAAAAGAGAATAAGGTAGGTAGCAGGATTAAGGGTATGACATCTACAGATGTGTTTCAGTTTGCCTTGGCCCGTTGCTGGATCTGCTCTTCCCTTCCGCTAAATAGTATCAGATGTCAAAACACTCCACTCAGGAGCCACTGATTGCAAGTAATTCAAAAGTTTATTACTCTCTCAGGAATTGGCAAAGCAAGGGGAGTCCCTGGGAGAGGGCCAATCAGTGAGAGGGCCCACTGGCAAGAGGGCCCCCCTAATGTCCTGAAGGAGAAAAGGAAAGAGCCTGGTCCTAGAGACATTTGTAGAACGAGCATCCTTGGGTGGGATTTTGTTGAATAATGTTAAGGGTGGACTAATTTCAGATCGCCACCTCTGTGGGGGGTGGAATCAAAGGTATAGTCCCCCTAATGTTTCGGTTACTAGGTATAGTCCCCCTAATGTTTCGGTTACTAGGTAAGTTACTAGGGTAATATAAGGAGAAGCAGCATAGGGTCTACATTGACCCATTAAAGTTCTATATTTTTCCCACACCTGTAGATGAGGTAGCCCAGAGGACGTTAGCTATTAAGGAAAGTAAATCAGAAGATTTAAGTAATTCTAAGGTGGAAGAGAGTTAGAGACACAAAAGTCCAGAGTAGTCAAGTAGAGCCTCATAATATGGTATATTTGACAGTCAGAGTCTGGGATTTCAAGAAAAATTCTTCTGGATGTGCACCTAGTAGTAGCACCCTGCTGAGCCAAATGATTCCATCTTAATAAATGAGTGGAGATAGAAAGATTGAGGAGAAAGTCATGTTGAGAAGATTCTCAAGGAGATAGGTAAAGTAGAAGGGGAAGAGAGAGAGGAGAAAGAGGAAATGTGTTTAGTAAGTCCCCCCACCAAGACCTTTTTATTGCTCTGAGGAAGGATGGTAGGAAATTGGGAGAGGTTACTGGTGGAGAGTGTGGCTCAATGTTTACTAAAAGCAAGGTTGAATGACCATTTACTAATATAGTTATTTCTCCTTGTTGATCCAGACAATTGGGACACTGGAGGAGGTCTTCCTCAGAGAGGAGTTATTTTGTTTCTGATTGAGCAGCCTGTTGAGTTGCTTGTTTCCTGGAGGAAGAAAGACAATTGTGGACCCAGTAACGTTTTTCTTTGCAACATTTTCAAGTATTCTCGCTTACCTGTATTGTGTCTATCAAGCTGTTTTAAATTGCAGTACCATAATTTTGTGGTATGTAGTTTTCTATTGTTTATTATGCTGTGCTCAAAATATTGAGCTATATGGTCTGCCAGCCTATATTATGCTTCAGAATAGCGTCTATTTCAGGTTAAAGGCCATTAACAAAAAGATGAAGATTGCCTGTAGTGGTGTTAATGCGAATGCCAAACCCTGAGTATTTCCTTAAGTGGTTTCTCATTGATGTGTAAAGTTAAGAGACAGATCAGATTAATTTGTTTACAGGGGTAGATTATTCTCCAGTCAATTTTAGAGGGAATCCTTCAGGAATTGCCTTTAAAAGACTTTTTCCTATTCCCAATGCTTTCTCATATTTGGAAGGGGGGGGGGGTGAAAGTCCTATTCTAAAGGTGAAAAGGAGCTGAGAAAGGAAAGGAGGAGGAGAAAAAGTCAGAATGGAAGCTAGGGAGCAAACTAGAAGGGAGCCTAGAAAGGAGTGGCTCTATAAGGGGCAGAAACAGAGTTAGAAAGGAGCAGGTCTTTGGGGAGGGAGAAGGCTGAAGTTATTTTAAGAGAGGCCTCAATAGAGTGAACTCTCTTGAACTGTTTTGTTTTTCTCAGCTTTGTCAACAAAAATGATCCATAACCAATTTATAAATGAAAATTTGGGTGAGTTTATTCTGAGCCAAAATGTGAGGACCATGGCCAGGGGCCTTTCTTCCCAAGAGAAGAAAGGGCATCAAAGAAGTAGGGTGTACAGAGTGGTTATTTACACGCAAAGAAGATGTTTCACATATGATTGAAATGTCCCTTTTACAATAGTCACGAGACTGCTCTTTTGGCACACTGGTTAATGGACACAGCAGGTAGTAGGTCTGCTGTCTTGGTGGACACAACAGGTGGCAGTGCCGGGAGCCGTCAGCCTACAAGTTAAGCCTCTGCCTTGTGACACGGTCCGGGAGAGAGATGAGGGGATGCACCGCGACCTTCAAGGGAATCTACCAGGCTGCCCCTGCAACAAGTCTCCCTGGTACTTCTGACTTTCCTGCTTCTGCTCACTCTGTTCTGCACCTGGGGATATTTCAGGGGAAGTCAGCTCGGCCCTGGAAATGGGAATGATGCAATGAAGTATTTTAGGGAAAGTTCTGGGAAACAACATTTTCTAGGGAAAGAACGTTCTGACCCGCCCCTGGAAAGAGAAAAAAGGGAACCTGACAAGTCACCTAAGAAGCGAGTTGTTAGCG